CAGCAGGAAGAGTCCAATCAGGAGAGTGTATGAGGTCAGGGTGAAAATGTGAGCATTTTTACGAGAGTGCATGTGTGTGTGTGTGTTGGCGTGTGCGTGTGTGCATGTCAGCTCAGATGTGGCTCAAACACACCCACATAATTAAAGAGTCTGTTTAAGGCAGACTGACTTAAGAAGAGAAAAGTCTACAGCATTACCACATGTCCACAGAACCAAAAGGATCCAAATGTTCTCTCTGTTGTCCAGCAATGCTAATGTTGCAATAGTGACCAATATATAAAAAGCAAAATCCTTTTTAAAAACCAACCTCGGTGGCCAACTGCCATTCTGGCCAAACTCTTCAAATAAAAACCAACCTCGGTGGCCAACTGCCCTTCTGGCCAAACTCTTCAAACTGTCCATGTCCAACAGGTCAATATCAGAGTTACAAACCAGAGCACAGATTACGCTGTTATATCATAGTAGTAAGTCAGACACTAACAGGTCTTTTTCTTTCTTCCTTAGGTGAGTCTCAGGGTGTGGTGAACTTTGTATTCTCTAAAGACACCAGTGACCTCTCTCTGGTGGAGCAGGCTAATGTCTGGCTTTTCCTACGTCTGGCTAAAGCCAACCGCAGCCGAGCCAAAGTTACAATTCGCCTCTACCAGCAACACAGTCTCACAGATGGACGCCCTCTTCTACCTAAGGACGACATCCTGCTGGCAGAGAAAAAGGTTGACACCCGTCGCAGTGGCTGGCACACCTTTCCAGTATCAGCAGCAGTGCAAAAACTGCTAGAGAGCAGTGAGAGCTCTACTCTCAGCCTACGAGTGTCTTGTCCACTCTGTGGTGATGCTGGAGCCACCGTTGTACTGGTCTCCAGAGGGTCAGAGACGTCACAGCGTTCCAGCCAGAGAGAGCAATCCCACAGGCCCTTCCTGATGGCCGTTGTCCGACAAGGGGATGCCAGTGACGGGCGGCGGCGCAAAAAGCGCGGGCTGGAGTGTGACGGCAAAGTCCGTATCTGTTGCAAGCGTCAATTCTACGTCAACTTTAAAGACATCGGCTGGAATGACTGGATCATTGCACCTCCAGGTTACCACGCCAACTACTGCGAGGGCGACTGCCCCTCTCACGTGGCAAGCATTGCGGGGTCAACCTTGTCCTTCCACTCCACAGTCATCAGTCAATACCGGATGAGGGGCTACAGCCCATTCCAGAACCTAAAGTCATGCTGCGTGCCCACACGACTACGGGCGATGTCCATGCTCTACTACAACGAGGAGCAGAAGATCATCAAGAAAGACATCAAAGACATGATTGTGGAAGAGTGCGGCTGCTCGTAAATGCAGACAATACAAGTAGACAAGAGGGCACACCTCTGAA